ATTCCAAATAATGAGCAGAACTATTACAATGAACAGAACTAATACAATGGAGACTTCTGGTTGGTCAGGTGTTTACTAGATAAAATTTCTCTGCAGGAACTTAATAGCCAAACTTAGAATACCATCATTTAGGGTATCTTAAATAACTCATTATCAGAGACTCCAAATTTATGAAGTGTCAACAAGCATCAAAACAAGAAAAAATTAACTAATGAAGTAAGCTCAGACAAAAATTTTTTGTTACTCAAACATTCTTCCCTTTTAACAGGAATCTATATCGCCAAGTCAGGGTGTCAAAGTCTTTCAGAGAGAATCACAGGCAAAGACACTGATAAATTATCGGATAGAACTGTATCTGCTAACAACTAGAGAATAAAAACCTCAAAAAGCCAAGGCTTGGTGGCTCATGCCTGTAATCCCAGCATTTTGGGAGACTGAGGCAGGAGGATCTCTTGATCCCAGGAGTTCGAGACCAGCCTGAGAAACACAGCGAGCCTTCGCCTCTACAAAAAAAGAAAAAATTAGCTGGGAGTGGTAGTGTGCACCTGTAGTCCCAGCTACTTTGGGAGGCTGAGGCAGGAAGATTGCTTGAGCCCAGGAGTTCGAGACCAGCCTGAGAAACATAGCGAGCCCTCGCCTCTACAAAAAATGAAAAAATTAGCTGGGAGTGGTAGTGTGTACCTGTAGTCCCAGCTACTTCGGGAGGCTGAGGCAGGAAGATTGCTTGAGCCCAGGAGTTCAAGGCTGTATTGAGCCATGACGATGCTACTGCACTCTACCCTGGGATATGGAGCAAGACCCTGTCTCTCCCCCGCCCCGCCCTACACACACAGCCTGAAAAAGAAGAAGACACATAGACAGGAATAAAAAAAGAAGAGAAAACTGACAAAGCTTTTTATATATTTCTTAATCACCCTGTTTACTATATAAGCTATTCATTGGCCTAGCCTACAATTTTACTTTAAAAACTGTTCCTCCTCCCAAAAAGGTTAACACTTGATTCTTTCTTGAAATAGCATATTAGTTGCTACTATAACCTAACTCGTGCTAACTATAAACTTATTTTCATAATTTTAGTTTCATTTTACCCACTTAAAGTCCCAAAATAAACTTTTATTTGCTATGAAATTTTGATTCCCATTTTAAACAGTGATCTATCATCCTGGGATAATAAAGACTTCTTGAACTAAATAGTAGTCTAACAAAATATAGTTTCACAAACATTTTACATAAATTTGTGAATACATATGAATTTAACAAGAAAGTAGGGCATTAGCAAAATCTTTTAAAGCTACTAGAAGTTAACATATATTCTCAGAAAATATTCCGTGATATTAGTGAGAGAATACATGGTCCCCAACTTACAATGGTTTGACTTCTATTTTTTGACTTTACAATAGCATGAAAACCATATGCGTTCAGGAGAAACCATACTTAGAATACCCATAAAATCATTCTGGTTTTCACTTTTACTACAGTATTCAATAAATTACATGAGCTATTCAACACCTTATTATAAAATAGGCCTTGTTATATGATTTTGCCTAACTATAGGCTAATGTAACTGTTCTGAGTATGTTTAAAGGAGGCTAGGCTAAAGCTATGATGTGTGGTAAGTTGAGTGCAGTAAAGGCTTTTTTTGGAGACAGAGTCTCACTCTGTTGCCTAGGCTAGAGTGCAGTGGCATGATCACGGCTCACTGCAGCCTCAACCTTCTGGGCTCAAGCAAGCCTCCTACATCAGCCTACTGAGTGGCTAGGACTACAGGCATGCACCACCATGCCTGGCTAATTTTTAAAAAATTTTTTTGCAGAGACAGGGTCTCGCCATGTTGCTGAGCCTGGTGTCAAACTCCTGGGCTCAAGCGATCCTCCTGCCTCGGCTTCCCAAAGTGCTGGGATTACAAGTGTGAGCCAGCACGCCCAGCCAAAGCATTTTGTACGTAACAATTTTTTCCACTTGTGATGGGTTACTGGGATGTGGCCTCATCACAAGTCAAGGAGCATCTGCACTAGATTACCTTGAACATGGCTCAGACCAAGTGCAGATCTTATTTCAGTTCACAATATTTTTACAGGATTATTTCATTATCTTCACTAAGACTTTTAAACATTAGATCTAGATAATCACTGCCATAATATCAAATGAATATTTCAAGAATAACTAATAAAGGGGATTAATGAGAGCTACATGACAATGAGGGCAATATTATCATGACACTCTGTTTTTTATTATAATTGGCTAAAATTTAAGATAATAAACTGATTGAGAATTAAATGGTTTACACAGGGGTTGAATAGATATCCTTACCTGAATGAGACTATCTATATACACTTCACACTCCAAAAGAGTTGTTTACCGAACATGTATCTTCTTTCCATTAAGCAAGACACTACTCCAGCCAGAGAAAAAGGGTAAAGACAGAAAAAAGAGAGCACTAGTACCTCCCTGGGAGAAATGTAAACAGCAGGTAAGTGGGCCAGACTGGAATGAAAAAGTTTATGAATAATAGGATATATCTTTGGGTTCTAGCACAGAAATGTTTTGGAAGTATCCCTCTAGAAGTATGTGTAGGTGGTACGTAGGTGTCATTGACAAGGTGGGGTGGGTGATAAGACTGCATGCCTCTGAGGGATGGTGAGTGATAATGGTCTAGCAGAGATGAGGGCAGACCAGACTAATGTTTTGTTGGTTTAATAAAATAAGGGCAGATCAAATGCTTTCCATGTCTAGACTATTCATGCATTCCCAATACCATGTCTAGAAACAGTTTCTCTCACCTCAAAATGATCCAAGTTCCATGTCTCCATTCAGGCAATAACTGTTCTCTACTGTGTTTTATTGTTATTTATTTGCAGGTCTTAATTCTCCTAATAGGTCATATGCTTCTTGAAAGTATCCACACCTCAACTCTTACAGCACTTCACTCAGTGCTCAATGAATTTCAAAGGATACACTAGATTTCTACTCTAAAGCTATCATAACACAGGTAAAAATATATAATTGAAGCTAAGAATTGGTATGCACAAGATAGAGATTATAAAGAACATGGTATTCACTTAAAAAGAAAGTAATGGGGCTGGACAAGGTGGCTCATGCCTGTAATCCCAGCACTTTGGGAGGTCAAGGCGGGCGGATCGCTTTGAGCTCAGCAGTTGGAGACCGGCCTGGGCAACATGGTGAAACCCCGTCTCTACAAATAAAATACAAAAAAATTAGCTGGGCGTGGTGGCGCACACCTGTAATCCCAGCTACTCAGGAGGTTGTGGCTGTACAATCACTTGAGCCTGGGGAGTAGAAGTTGCAGTGAGCCAAGATCGCGCCACTGCACTCCAGCCTGAGTGACAGTGTGAGACCCTGTCTCAGAAACAGAAAAAGATGGCACACATGGCCTAGATTGTACTTTTTACGAAATCTGATGACAGTTATTATTTTTGGTGGTAACTGATGCTTGCCAATATGCCCTGAAAGATGAATGCACAGCCAGAAGCCTTTACATGCATGCGAAGATTGTGCTCTGATCTACTGTTGCAACCACTCTTTTCAGGAAATCACCATTTGTCTCTCAGCCACCTGTTGACCCAAAGTCACTGCTCAAAGAGCTCATTTCCAATGGTATCACAGTGGGATGGCCTGGGGCTACTGCTTCCTGCTAGACCACAAATATCCCATTTGAAGCAAGATTTTTTTGTCTCCCCAGAACAAGCAAAAAGTTCTTTTTTACCTTCCCCTTTTTACCTTCCCTTTATGCCTGCCCATACAATGACTGCTAAAGTTCCCAGCTGATATGCATGTGTTTCATATAACTAGCACATCAGAGATGGATTACATCAAATACTACTGCATCTATCCTGGAGCAAGTCCCTTTTTGTTATTTAATGTTTGCTAAGTCTCTGAGGTGAGGGTTCATAAATATAGAGGCTGGTGTCTTACATCACTTAGGGGATGTGTGCTGATGAAGGTAAGTTATGACTGCTATTTCCATACTTCTGATTAGATATCAAGATTGATGCTGTGTTGATACTTCTTACACCTAGACCATAGTTTTTCAAATAGCAGGCTCTGACTTATTAGTGGTGAAGTCAATCTATTTGATGTCACAATAGGTATTTATATGAACAGGAGAGAACAGAAAGTAGAGGGCTTCGCATTCATATAATAAAGAAGTTCGTGACATTTTTGCTTCATTTACATATAGTGTTACATATGTGTGCGGACACTGGGTTAGGATATGAAATATATTTCTAGTGTGGGTCTCAGTCCAAAAAGTCTGAAAAAAAATGTTGTCTAGAGCACCTTAAAGGCCACACCTATTTTTGTCAAGAGTTTCTCTATTTGGCTATCTTTGGATGGCCAACAGTCTAGAGTTTAAAACCAATGAACTACTGAAATGCATTATTTTAAACTTTCTTGCCCAGCATGGGGTAATTTTACAACTCTGTCTGAAATGGTCCGGATATGATGAAGGCCCCTAAGCATAGTATTTCTTCTTAAAAAGCTTTTATTCTCCCAATGCATTATTCTAAATATAAAATCAATCCCTCAATATATCCTTGTATTTCTAATTCTGACTAGGAGCTGGAGATGACAGTAACCAATACTGAAATCTTTCACATAGTACTTGCTATTTGTGTGGACCCCCAGAAGTATTTACTTGAAGCCAGTTTTTAAATTTTAATAATATTTAGAAACAGCATAAACAACATTTCTTCTAACCAGCCTTTGGAGCCAGATTTCCAAAGGTGACTGCAACCTTAAAATAAAAAGATGAATTTTCTAATATCGTGAGATTTGAAAAGATCCACATAAAAGGAACTAAATGTTTGAAAGTAAAGCATAAGAAATAAGCTATATTCACTTTGAGACTGTGACTTCAAAATATCAGGAATAGACAGTGTCTGACCAGCTAGATCCCACTTCTTCCACACCCTATTTATAAAAACTTTATACAGAAGGAAAAATACATATATACAGATATATATACATATATATATATCTACCTTCACTGTCCTTGAATTTCTTGATTGCCACAATTTCATGTGTTTCCTGCAAGGGAAAAGAAAGCAGAAGGAAAGTCATTCTCCAGTGTTTTTCCGACTGGGGATTCCAATTGCCTGGGGGTATATTCTGGGACAGAGTAGCAAGAAGCCAGAGTGTCAAAAATATATCATCTTCCTCTCCCCCGCCACCCCTCATTTCTTGGTTCCAAAATTCTCTTTCTTATCACCCCACAAACATTGTCAAGGAAGGAAAGGAAGAAAGGGAGAGGGTGTGGAGCAAAGAGCAGATACGGTGACGGAATATGCTTAACTCATAAATCATTAGTGTCAATGTCTTGAGGATACTCAAAAGTGCCAGGATGAGTGGCAGACTCTCATCTGTACTGTCCTCTGAAGTCCAGAGACACATTTTAATTGGCCTTCTAAGACCAAGAAAGGGCCTCTCCAATACACAGTAGTTGCTGGTAGCAGAATGCTAACAAGCATATCTAATTTTCTCCAGCTCGTCCCTATTGATGGTCATTGCAAATCCAAAGTGAGATAAACATTCCATCACCAAATACCAATCATCACCTTCATCCTGCCCTTATTTATCTCTTCTCAACAGAAGAGATAACAGAATTCTGCCTTAAAAGAAAATATGAAAATCTTTTTTGTTGTTTTTGGTTGGGAGGAAAGAAAATAAGGGCTGGAAAGGAAATAGCTAAGAACTAAGTACCACTAAACTAAATAACTTGTATCCAATTCTGGTATATAAAAGCAATAAAAAAGCTTTTGGCAAAATAATTAATATAAATTCTTCAAAGCCAACATGTCATATGAAAGCCTTCTGAATGACTCAGGCCTGTTCTTTTTTACTCTAAGTGGGGACACTTTCAGATCAAATCTTTTAATATTTAATAAAACGTCCCTGCATCAAAACAAAGACTTTAAAATTAAACACAATACCAGGGAAGTGCTATAAATTATGGAGGAAAAAGACACTTAAAGGTACTGTGTTTTTGTTTTTAATGAAGGAATAGGATTGTAGGGTACAGACAACTTACTTGTACGTATAGGGTACAATTTATTTGTACATTAATGGATCTTCTGACTTAAAGAAACTCCTTCTTCCAGGTATTTTATTATTGGGAAGGAAGAACTGCCAATTTTAAGTAATGCAGAAGATTATCAGCTAGAATATTATCCCACGTAGTACAAAGGTGACTCTTTTATATACACTACTCTCCCATAATACATTGATATCATGTTCTTACCCAGCTCCTTTTCTAATGGCTCTAGCTAGCAATCTACCTACAGCATAACTGAAAGACCAGACCCTATCAGGAACCTCCTCTTGCTTTTCTCACAGCACAAAGGTGTAGCTTCCAGGAGTAGAGAAAAACTGCACATATCTCAAATGAATATTGTTCCAGGTAGTGTTCCATCTTATATTCCACTCTAACTGAAAGACTCCCACATACATTTCTTTCATTGCATCCTAGGCATTAAAATTTTGTCTGATTTTATAAAAGATTTTACTCAGTTCAAAACGGTCCACTGATGTGACTACAAATTTAAATTTGTAACTGGCACATTTATACCACCTTGAATAAATTCATTAGTTATTTTTCTCTGGCATCTCATAAATACAATTTACTGTATAAAGCGACGGCTAATGGGGGTCAAATAAAATGTTTATTCTTTTATTTACCCTTTCAAGAATACCACGAAAATCCTCTCTCCTCAAAACTCACTCTCTCCGCCTCCCCCAATATGGTTTATGTATTTACTTAAAGAATGAAGTCGAACAGATGAAGTTTTCTACATTAAACCAATTCAGTGTTTAGTGAAAAACACATGCAATTAAGAGAAGATGCTGGAAAGAATTTAACATTTCACATGTATTCAAACTGCTTATAAAAATAATATAAACTCATTACAGAAAATACAAAAAGAATATAAAGGGTACAAAAAGGATATAGAGAAGACATTTACAAAATTAACTCTTGCTAATATTTTGGTATATTTTCTTCTAGTAAATTTTTCTCAAATGGTAGTAGTAATACTGGATATCTTATTGTATGTTGTTTTTATTTCACTTGATATTATATAAGCAGCATTTCAAGCTGTTATTTTTAAAACCACCATTTTTCATGGATGGCTATTTAACAAGTCTATTAATGAACATACTTCAACATCTGCATCTGTATTTCCACAGAGTAAATTCTATAAGTGATATAATTGGTTCAAAGGGTATGAATGTTAAAGGTTCCCAATATATACTGATAAACTGACATCCAAAAAAACCGTCATGTCACAGTTCCCTTCAGCAGTGTGTGAGAATATTCACTCTACACCCATTGTCAAAACAAAATAAAATCATTAAAAAAAACTTCTCTGGCATTCAATGAGATTAGAGAAGTTTTCTTCTAATAAGTGAAATCCGGTCCCCCAGGGTTAATATTTTCTTGCTGATTCATGGATGATAACTTATTGCCAAATTCTGTTACAAATCTTTTCCCCAGATTGTTGTGCTTGCTAGAGTTTTGTTGTTGTTGAATATAAATTATTACATAGTCAAGTTTACTGATACAGGCATTTGTAATTATGTCCATTACTTTTGTGCTCAAAGTCCTTACTTAGCCTGAGCATGGTTAATATTCATCTGCATTTATGTATCTTGATATTTTAATTATTTCTTTCCTTAAATCTTTATTCACTTGTAATTTATTTTAATATATGACATGGTGAGGGAATCCAGATTTAATATAATTTCTAAACACTAAACCAATTTTCCCAATACCCTTTACCAGATATTTTTAGTTGTTACATCTTAGTATCCTTACATATAGATACTAGATGTGCTTTCAGACCTTCTAGTGGACTCTAGCCTAGTCTAGTATAGGCTACTGATCTGTTCTTATGCCAGAACCAGTGTTTAAAGTATTGTGACCTTGAACTGTTTTAAATTAATCTGAGGTTATCGACACTGATTCTTCTTATACCATTTTGTTAAATATATTTATTTTTGAGAGCAGGGTTTGACTGTTGAATTTAATTTGTAATTATAGATACATGAGCTATAATATTTTATTTTTTTTTACATATTCAGTTTGCTTCACTGTTTACCACCAGTCCTTTTCTTGTATGGTTTATACATATTTGAGTGATTGATTTGCATTCATGTTTTGCTCAGCCAGAGTACATCTTTGAAAGATTTTCTGACAAAGTGTCTTATTTTCCAAGTCTTTGCATTTTTGAACATCTTCACATATACATGGCAACTTGATAGGCACGGAATTCTTGGGAAGGCAACCTTTTATTCTTCAGAGTCACTGGAAGCTTAAGTGCACCATAAAGCCCTGGAAAATGCCATTCACATCACAGACACCAGAGTCTATACGCTTATTAAAGCAACTTAATGCAGGTAGGAATAAAGTGTCTTCTTGTAACAAAATCTATATACTAAGATATTTTTCCAAGAAGAAGGAAATTAAGGGTCTAAAAAGAAGGACTGCCATTTTCTAACATAAAGAAATTATAATACTGTCACATAAGGCATCAAATGGGGAACAATGACCTGACAGTCTCTGGTATTTGTAGCAGAAAAGAAGTATGAGGCCTATTTGGATTTTGTTCCAATATAGATCACTTCTTTTTTCTCCCTAAATACTGTTAGAACTTTTCCTTTTCCTTGAAATAAAAATTTTAAATTATTCGGAATATATCTAGAGGAGTGTGTGTGAGTATGTGTATGTGTATTTTTTGAATCAATAATACCTGGAAATCAATGAAATTAGAAAAGTCTCCTTATAGCAACCTTATATGTTGTTTCTACTCCTATTTTTCTATTATTTTCCACCACAAACCTTACAACTTTTAGGTTGGATCTTTCATAATTGTTTAGTATATTTTGTACTAAGTTTTTGTACTTAGTATGCAACGTTCATGATTGCATCATCAGCACCTAGAATAGCAGGCACATAGTGGGTGTTCGATAAATATTTAGTAAATGAACATTAATGAGTTCAAAAGTGCTACACAATTTTGTTTTATCCATTTAAGGCTTCTTTCACTTGTCTTTATCTCAGCCAACTTCTGCATTTTTTGCCTTGTTTAGCTTATTCACTCTCTGTAGAGGTCTTATCTTCCTAGCTTTCTTTGGGAGACTAAGCAGATGTCTTAACTTTATTGGTTTGTTAGAAAAAGTCATTTTCAGAACCATGTGTTGCTTCTAAATCTTCACAGCAATGTTTTATCTTCCCCTATCTTTTCATAGTGTTTTCTCTGCTCCACCCTTTAAAACTCATTCTTACTAAGATGGAAGGAGATCCACCAGGACTGGCATTTGGCCTCAACTTGAACTTCAAATATGAACTGATGCACCCTGAGCCCGATTTTAGAACTTGGCTCACTAGCACATATCCTTCCCATTGGGGTTGGCTGGTCTGAGGTTAAACTGCCTGGGCAGGGTTCTCTGAGTAAGAAGAGCACATGCCATTAGCTGTTTACCTCATGGCATTCTGGAGACCACATTTCTAAGCACAGTCTCTCTTCCCTCTACCTTCACCACACTTTGCCACGGGGGACTCCGAATCCTAGGATAGTACATGCCTTTTCCAATCCTTCCTTGCTTCTTCCCTTACTATATTTAGGACATTTTGGTCTCTGCAAAGATCTGGAAATGCAGATGCTAATGCAGGCTAGTAGGGGGCTGAGAACTCCAGCTCCAGCGGTGTCAGATTATGGTTAACCTCAGTGAGACGGTTGCTTATTTTTCAGTTCCTGTGAGCATGGGTCCAAGGCATTTCCTACTCCCTTTGGATATCTGGCCTGATTTGGGTTCATAAAGTAGGATAAACAGCATGATGTTCAAGAGTATGCTTTCAACCCAGTACTGCTAATAAAATTAATTCTCCCTGGACTTTGCTAGCAATCTTCGATGTTTAGTTTATTAATTTGTAAAACTTCATGGGTATTTAATGGAGAGGTAGGAAGTAACACGCCAAGCTTTATTACTTATTCTACCACCACCCTGAGATGCTATATATAATAAAGGTGTAG